AGAGTTTCTACGACTTCCTAATCACAGAGCTAGGACTGTCGCCCCCCACCCCCATCAGAAGGCTGTGAGTTAGGAGAGAGAGAAAGTCTGTCGATGTGTTTTACCAAAACATCACAGCGGAGGGTAGGCATTCGTAGTGTGGTTGCTGGGGCTCTCATCACTCCAAGGCTTACCTTGTTCTGCACAAACTTGGTGTGACCTCAGAGGTGCCTAGAAGCCAAGCATGGCAGCTCAAACACACAATCTCATCATCTGCGACGCTGTGACAGGAGGACCACCAGGAGTTCAAGGATAGTCTGGACCACAGTGTGAATTGAGAGATGGAAGTGGGGAGAGGAAGATGGAAGAAGGAAGAGGAGGAAGAAAAAGAAGAACAAGAAGCAGCAGCAGGTGGGGAAGCCTCAGTTGGTAGACTGCATGTGATCAGTCGGTAGGGTGCGTGTGATCAGTTGGTAGGGTGCGTGTGCTCAGTTGGTAGGGTCCGTGTTCTCAGCTGGTAGGGTCCGTGTGCTCAGTTGGCAGGGTGCATGTGCTCAGTTGGCAGGGTGCATGTGCTCAGTTGGTAGGGTGCGTGTGCTCAGTTGGTAGGGTGCGTGTGATCAGGTGGTAGGGTGCGTGTGCTCAGTTGGCAGGGTGCGTGTGCTCAATTGGTAGGGTGCATGTGCTCAGTTGGTAGGGTGCATGTGATCAGGTGGTAGGGTACGTGTGCTCAGTTGGCAGGGTGCGTGTGCTCAGTTAATAGAGTACTTTCCTAGCATATACAAAGCCCTGAATCTGATCCTCAGCACCACAAACACTGGACATGGTGGCTCCCAGCATTCAGGTGGTGGCAACAGGAGGATCAAAAGTTCAAAGAAGGCCATCCTCAGCTACATAGTAAGTTCCAAGCTAACTAACATACACGAGATCCTGTCTCAAAACAAGCTATCTGGTCTCTGCAGGTCCCTCACTGAAAACAGAGAGTCTGCCAGAGAGAGACTAAGCTGAGAAGACAGAGCTCCGGCATCCCAGCTACGTGGAATGTGTAGCCTCTAGCTCCTCCAGCCTGTCCCAGGAAGTTTCAGGAAGGGCTCTACACAGGTAGGTTCAGGGAGCCAAGCAAGATCGTTCACTGGTTCCTGAGCCTCCCTTGCAGAGCTAAATAAGAGTTCCCACTATACAGCAGAGGTGGGCTGACCTGTGGGCTGATCAGTATTTGGTCTGGCAAAGGTTCCTATAGAATATATAGGTTCCACTCTGATTCTGCAACACCAAGGCCAGAAGCACGATAAAAGCCGCCTTAGGTGTGGAGCAGACAAAGCCATAAACGAGAGCGGAGTCTCCCCACAGTCAGCCATGCTGTTCCTGTCATGTTGGTGACCCCTGAATAAGGCTGGGAACGACGAGGAGCATCTGACCCAGCTGAGCTGGATCCTAGACCACATCTAGACTAAGCCACGGGCAGACCTGACATCCAAACCAACCCACAGGCAGACGCAGAACTGCTCCGGTTTTTCACAGAAAGAAGACAGGTCAGCCTTGACCAGGACTGTTCCATCTTCCAGAAGTTGGAGAGGGTCCCCTCTATCACAGACGCTGTCCTCTGTCATAGGGACCTGCTGGAAAAGATTCCTGGGTCCAGAATTTGGAGGAGACTGTTAAATCTATCATGTCCCCTCACTGGCTAGCTTCCTTCTGGTTCTATTAGTTAAATAAGGCCGTCTGGTTTATCCAAGTGGTGTCTCTGTCTGGTCTTTCCATTCATCCATACATCATCTGATATTTCCTTGGTACAGGACGCATACATCCCACTACTTTTCATTACCACTCTCTGTCCAGCCAAAAGGTGCTCCTACCATGCCACCCCAGGTTGGGATCAAGTTATGGGAAAACATATGCATGCAATTCAATATCCAATCCCCTTCCTGCCTTGCTTCTCTGCAACTCTGCCCTTTCTTCATCCCCAAAGCAAGAACAAACGCCAGATACTTCATCTGTACCAACACTCTAACCTGCTGGCTTAAAATAAAATAAACCTTGTGGCTGTAACCTATCATAGTCACCCCTGTGAGGATGCCAGCCAATTCCCACAGCTTCCTGGCATCGGATTTTTCTATCTAGCCTTTCTGTTTGCACTGGTAGCTGTGATGATTTTTCTTCCACTGAACATTTCTCAGATTGCTGATAGGTGGGAGGGGGCGATGCACAGAGAACAGTGGGGAATGAGGAGATGGTGCATTAATCCTGGTTCCTGGAGAGAGGAGAGGAAAGGTGTCGCACAATGTGCATCTAGCCAGGGGTAGCCAGGGCTGCACACACATGCCCGGGAATATCGTCTCCCTCTCCTGATTTCCTCAGACCTGGCAGCTTAGCATAGCAGGATCTGACTCCAGATCTAGCTATTCAGAATGCAGGACTCATCTCTGCCCTCAGTCAAAAGCACATGTTTTCTTTCATCAGCCCACAGTGTGGCACCAAGGACTCCAGAATCAAGCCTCATAGTTGCAACCTTATGAGGACAGGGACACAGTCCACACCACCTCATACATGCTCCAGTGGATGGGAATGCTCAGAACCCCGCACCTTTAGAGCTCAGAGCCAATAGGAAGACGTAGAAAGGAGGCTGGAACTACACAGAGAACAGAACTTCACTTTCATGGTGACTACATGGTGGACCGCAGCACCAGTGACTTTGGATGTCACTTCAATCAGCATCAACCCTAAAACTGACCGCAGAAAGCTTGAAGAACCTCTGAAGATGCTCACCCCATCTCAGCCCCTTGAGATACAACTTAGCCAACCCTCGCCTCTCCCCAATTAGAGTCCCAGACACATGAGAATCCAGAACTCTCAGGACAGTTACATATTTCATGGCCTTCTTGAGTAGAAAAAAAAAAATTATGTACACAGACTCATTGAGAACTCTTGGCTCTGGAGATACAAGAACTAGAAAAAGGTCGGGCGTATGATACTCAACCTTAATCCCAGCACTCTGACCTGAGGCAGAAGCAAGCAGGTCTCTGTGAACTGAAGTGCAGTCTGTTCTGCATAGCTAGTTCCAAGCTATCTAGGGCTGTGCAGTCAGACCTGGTCTCAAAAGCAAATAAATAAATTTTCTAAGAAATGACTCAGAAGGAAAAGCAAAATTATGTGCATGCATGCACTGCTGTGCATGTGTGTGCTTGTGGGGGGGCAGAGGTCACGTTAGGCATCTTCTTCAATTGTTCTCCACTTCAATCTTTTTTTTTCTTCAGATGAGATCTCTTGTTGAACCTGGAGCTTGTAGATTAGACCGACTGGCTGGAGGAATCCAGGGATCTGTCTATCTCCGCCTCCCCAGGGCTAGGATTACCCGTGCGTTTTGCTGAGCTTGGGTTTTTGCTTGTGTGCACAGCTTCTGACACAGGGATCGAAACTCGGGTCCTCACGCTTGCAGAACAAGCACTTTATCAACCTAGCTGTCTTTCTAGCCTCATCCCCACCCCAAGAGTGACCTTAAAAAGTGACTTTCCATCATACTGCACTTTTCACAGCACGTTCTCATCCGTAGATGAGAGACCAATCCTGTCAAGTTTGGGAGGGAGTTTCCTCTCAAGGAAAATGTAAGCAAAAAGAAGCACAATTTCGTCAGTCTATTTCCGAGCAGCTCAAGAACCAAGAAAACACATATCCGCAGTTGTTATTTTATGTATTACTGGAAAAAAAAAAGCGGCTACTTTTAGCTGAGTGCATCTTTCCATAGGGTACAGCTCAGAGAGGCCAATCGGGCAGTCTCGGAGCAAGCTGTGGCTAGAGGTGACTGTATCAATTTCCCACCTACCATTCAGGTCCCCGAAATGAGCAACAAAAATGGAAGAAGGGGAGAGTGCATGCAGAAGTGGAAAAGCCACCCAAGATCAGCAAAACAGCCTGTCTAAGTTGTGCAAAAGGCTAGCATCCACGACAACCGAAAACCGGATCTGTGGGCACAATTCATCAGACCCAGGAATGAGGAATGCAAACAATGGGCTTATAGTTTACAGCAAACAGAAAAGACGCCCTCTCTGAAGAGCACTGATCAATGGTCCCCCACCTGTCCTGCAGGAAGGATCCTCTTCTTCACAGAATAGCTACAAGGAACCACAATGCGTGACAGATTTAAGTCTTGAGTTTGAATCTTTCTGCCTTGCTAGGACTCCGTCTCAGCATTTTCCTGTGTATTGGTAAAAGAAACACTACCTACCTCTTAAGGATATTGTAGCAAATGTGAAATTCTAGGAAAAGCACTAGTCCTGAACCAAACACTTCAGAAGAACTCAAAGGGGGGGCGGGGGGGGGTGTTTTTGCAGAAATGAAAACGGAAGCCAGAGGGCAGCCAAGGCTAGCCCTTGTGATCTGAGAAGGGATATGAGGAGACTATACAAGCTGTTGAGACCAAAACTCTTACACATGTTCTTGTCCTTGAATTTAACTAGAACTTACTCTGCCTCCCAATGTATCTGGAAGAACAGACATTTGGGACCTATAAGTATGTGTAGGACTTAAACCCATGCTACAGTCAGTCCCAGGCTGAAGACAATGCACTGCCATTACACAAACTGTGGCCAGTGGGGGTAGGAAAAGCCTGATGACATGGCTCTGTAGCTGGGCACAGGAGACCCTCAGCCTGAACCGCCACCTCCTGCCCTTTTTCTTGCCACTTTTATTAAACAGTCACTCTGGGCAAAACAGCAGCATAGATCAAACCGCAGGAAAAGCAAATGGAAGCCCTAAAAACAAAACAGAAAAGATGGCCTAGAAGCCGGGCCCATGAGTTCCCTAATGTTTTTGGATAGACATCATGTCCTCTCACCAGCCTCTGAAAATAACTGTGGGTTCTCCTGTGCTTCAGTATGGGAAAGAGTGGTTTGTTTGGGGGTTTGTTTTTCAAGGAGCACAGAGGAGTCGGGTTCCCAGATTCAGGTTGGGCCAGACATAAAGGAACACCATCAGGACCAGAAGATGAGCGCAGCCGCAAGGCTGGCGCTGGGGCAGGGGATTACCTGTGCTGCTCCACGGCCTCGTTGTCTGGAAGCTCGACCCCACACACGCTGCACTGCTCCCCCAGAGGACGGCTCTCGGCCTTCATGCCTACAGCCAGCTCACCCAGCTTGCTGAACAGCTCCCTCTGGATGAAGCCCTGAGGCAGCAGGCCCCCATAGGTGCTGAAGTCCATGGAGACGGCCAGGGCAGGTTGCACATGGAGACCAGAGGTCACTGAGGACGGCATGCTCAACACAGCATCGGCCTTGTGGTTGGGCAGCACTGAGTAGATGCCCAAATGCTTCTCCACTGGGGGTGCCAGGGGCTCCTGTCGCCCAGGGTGTCCCTGACCAGTTTCAACGGGAGGCGAAAGCTGCTCAGCACTTTCTTCTCGCCCGTAATGAAGCTCCCTGGCGCTGGTGATGACACTGCTCCTAGTGGGAGTCCCAGGCCCCTCTTTGCTCCTTTCTTCAAGCTTGTCCCCTAACCCTCCTGAGATGCTGGACTCAGCTGCCCCAGGGCTGTCCTGGCCAGGGACTTCATCTACCTGCATCATCTCTGTCTTCACCTCCGCCACCGCAGAGTGCCGCCCGCCCCCCACCAGTGTGGGCTCCTCGGGCCCTGCAGGTGGCTGAAGAGTTCCTTGCAGGAGAGACTGTCCTATGGTCATCAGACTGTCCACTGCTGCCTTGGTAGGACTCATGGCTGAAAGCCCAAAAGAGGTGGAGACCGAAGGGCTCTGGTCCACCATGGGCCCGGGGAGGCTCTGTCCAGCCACGCTGGAATACCCACTCTCCTCGCTGGAATGCTTCGAGATGAAGATGTTCTTGAGGTATCGAGCCTTGCGGTCCTCTTCTTCTTCACCCCCGCCATCTGCCATGGTGGCCTCTGTGTCATTGTCATCGGATGCCTGGATGGTCTCCAGGATCTTCAGGCACTGTTCCTCCAGGTACTCAATTTCCAGGATCTCGGCTGCATAGAGCAGGTCATCAAGGTCCTCTGCCTTGGCTTGCAGCGTGGCCGTGTAGGCATACTCCAGAATCTGCTGGAAGGTCTTTGGCGAGAGGAAGTCCAGAGTGTAGTGCTGGCTGTTTCGGTGGAAGAGAATCTCAAACATCTTGCTGGTGCAGGCCAGCACTGTGCGGTGGGCATGGAACTCCTGGCTGTCCACCATGATGACCACATCGCACAGAGTCCCGGCCAGTCGCATCTGATTGGCCTTGCACAGCAGCCCCGTAGGGTGGCTAGGGTTCTGCAGCTGGATCATGCCCATCTTTGTCAGATCCATGATGCTCCCCTTGGCTCAGGCATGGGGCTCTCTTTCCTTCTTTGCTCTGCGTGGTGGGGCGGGGTAGGCTTCCTGGGCTAGCGGAAGGGACTGGAGAAGGCAAGAAGAGAAGAAGTAAAAGAGATGAGCAAGTGACAACATCCCCAGTGTCTCTAAAATTAAGAATTCAAACATTACAGTATGCCTCCACTCCAGCAAGGGGATCTCTTGGGGTTTGAACGGAAGGGACTTGGGCTTCCTAGAAACCTATGAATCGGGCTTTGCCACAAGCCCAGGGCTCTAAGAGTAAAAAAGAAGGTTATGTTTTCCCATATGTTTAATCAACGGCTCGGTAGCATCCGCTGGATGAAGTGATATGAAGATTACAATGAATCCTAGGCATTCATCAAGCCTGAGAATAGAGACTTCCCGTGTTGGACCAGTGTCCACCATGAAGCTCACAAGCATACTTAAAATTAACGAGTTCTTAACCCCTTCCTTTAGTCAGCTTAAGCATTCAGCTTTACTGCCAATCCCCTATAAGCAGACCCTCATCTCCAATGTTTTTCTAGTTCTGCTTCACTGAGATGGCCTTAGGAGACAAATCAAATATAGCCAGGGCTGCTAGAGGTGGTTGGTGGTGGCGGCGGTGGCCTGGTATCTACCAGCAACAAGGCTGTCCTCTCCTAACCATGTCCTCGCTCCACCATCCAGTGCCTTCTATGGCCTCCGTCCTTGTACTCTGTAAGTCAGGGCTGCAAAGGATTGGCAGACCCATTCTTAGGCTGTGACAAGAACACACACACACATCACACCACACACACACACACAGACACCACACTTCACATGCTAGCTTATCATTTCTACCTACAAGTTCCTCAGAGTTACTCTGTACGTCCAAGGGGTGTGTGTGTGTGTGTGTGTGCATGTATGTGTGCTAGCCAAAGAGTATTAACATGCCTACATACAATTATACAAGATGCTACAGCCTCCTCCCTTCCCTCCTGCTCCCAAGAGTCCAGTGGACAGAACAAACTAAAATGAGAAAGCAGAGAGACACCATAGGAGGGTATGTTCCCAACAGCCTTGAGGGCTCATGCCAGACTGGATACCTCCCAGGTGTTGGCAAGTTCAGTGACAAGGAGAAAAACTGACACAGGACATGGCTCTAAAAGTGACATTGGCACCAGCATCTCTGGCAAAGTCCAGAAGGTAAGGAAGACTGCGCTGGAACACAAAAGCCTTTCACAGAGCCTCTTCTGGATCACTGAGTGGCTCCCGATTCTGAACAGTCATTGGGACATGGACGGAAAGACCTAATAGGTAGAGGTCCCCAGCCTCTGCCGAGCTGTGGCTAACATCTCCCAAAACCAATGGCCTGAGAAGAGGGGAGAGAGAGCTAGATTTCTTGCCCAGTCTTCATGGAGCTTGCCTTCACCCTCAGCGGGAGTCTTACGGACCCGGAGGCACAAACTCATGCCGAAAAGGTTAACAGCACTTGCTGGCTACTCTCACTGTCCACCCCAAAGTGGAAACGAAGGGCATCAACATGGGTGAGACATAATTCATCAAAGACTTCATGAACACTGTGTGCTTTCGGCAGAGATCAGAGTTTTAAAAAACTAAGAGAGAGAACCAAAATAAAGAAGGTTTGCGGCCCGAGTATCTTCTCCCAAAGGGGCCTTTGAGGCCTTGAGGCAAATCAAGGTGCCCTCTCTCTCACCGGCGGATCTGTACCAGCGATCGGACCATCGCTAGCTGCAGCGATCAGTCAGGAGGCGCTGGGTAAAGCGCTAACCCTCCAGAGCACCAAGGATCGATAGCGCTCCCAACACACCCCCCTCGTTCCCAGCGACCCCCGCCCGCCGAGACTTGCAAAGGACTTTGGCAAACTTGGGAAAGCAACTTTTACCCAGGAGTCAGGCGCCTCTGGAAGAAAGGGAACTGAGCTAAGGAAAGAGGGAAAGCGAAAGAGACCAGGGAAAGGAGAAGGTCCGAACGGGCTGGACGGCGTAGCTAGGCCGGCCAGGCGGCGCAACCCGCAGAAGAAGGGGAAGCACAAAAGCCCTGCGGCGAGTAGTGGGAGGCCAAGCAAGAAGAGATCTCCGGGTCCTCATCTCCCACCCAGGATCAGGATCCTCGGGAAGCCATCAGCACGGTCCCCAGCCTCCCACACCAGCTGCCCGCATGCCCGAGTTAGTCACGCTGGGAGCGTGGCGGGGAGAAGGCGAGCTGGTCGCAGCGGAGCGCTTCTGTGCATTCCAGTGGGTCGGCAAGCAGGCGGGATCGTGCGTATTTCGACCGCGTGCGGGAGCGTGCGAGGGGCTAGGCAAGCTTGCAACCAGCGCGCCAGGGTGGGAAAGACATCCCAAACGCATCAGGTGCAGAGCCCGGAAACCCACCGTGCGCGGCCAGGAGCGCACAGCGAGCTCCGGCGCCAGGGCTGCTCCCACCGAGAGCCGAGGAGGACCCGGAGTGTCGGAGTCTCTCCGAAGCTTCCCTCTCTCCTTAAATAGGGGCATCAAGTCTAATCAAGAAAAAAAGAAAATTCCCACCACGTTTTTCTCTAAAGAAAACAAAAACCCAAGCGGTACCAGTCCCCTCCCCTCCGCCTCCCAGGTCCACTCCTCGGCTCCTTCGGTTCTAGCTCCCCAGCGGGGCAGCGAATAAACACAAATAAATAAGGCACTCACGCCAAGCGCACCGGTTCGCATACATATGAGCACCCACAAGCTCTCTGCTCTTCCGCCAGCCCTTGGCTGTACAAAGCCACCCAATCCCGACCACACGCGCCCACAGCCCCGGCAGACCTCCCGGCTTGCCACCTCTCACCCGGACGGTGCCCCGAGGAAGAAGGTTGGGGAAGCAGCTGCGCCTAAGCTGACAGCCAGGGCTCCGCTTTCTAGCTGACCCCCAACCGGCGCGGGCGACTGCTGCAGCAGCAGCAACCAGAGAGCTCCGCAGGAGCCCAGCGGCCGAGTGGCCAAAGCTAGCGCCACCCGCCTAAACCTCTCCCGCCCCAGGGCGCCCTGGCGGGAGGCGATCGCTGGGCGGTGCGTGTCCAACACACACACACACACACACACACACTCACCGCTTGCCGAGCCTGAAGCTTGGGGTGGGTGTGCGTGCCTAGGGGGTGAGGGGTGTGCCTGGATCGGGGAAGGGGTGTTGCTGAGGAACTGTTGCTCCGGATCTCACAGCGGCAGCGGCGGCATCGCCCGGCAGTTCGCAGTACCCGCTCTCATCACCCTTAACTCCTCTCTGCCGCTAGGTTAGCAAATCACCACCGGCTGCGGCGCCTCCGCCGCGTCCCACGTCAACGCCGAGCCCCCTCCCCTGCGAGGCCCCGGCGCCTCTCCATCTTTAGTGCTGGCGGCCGAGCCAGGCTGCCTGCCCACAGCTGCCCCCTCCCCTCCCCCTGGCCGGCCTCGGCCCGCCCACCCCGCCCCACCCCCGCCCTGTCGGAGCCCGTGCGCGCTCCTAGCCTGGCCCTCCCTTACCGGGAGCTCCCCTCCTTTCCCCGGTGCTCAGCGCTCCGGGCTTCGCCTGACATCTAGCTGCTGCCCCGGCGCCAGCGGTCGCTGCTCGTGACTAGGCGGAGAGGGCAAAAGGTTGCAAGGAAGAGAAGCCTCAAGGGGCCAGAAGGATGAAAGGGAGGAGTAGTCCCCACTTTAGACTCAGGTTTTTCATTTCCACTGGGCATGCTGTGTATCCCGCGCCCCAACTCCAGTGCTCAAGTGCGCAGTTTCGTATGGTTTTCTAGTATTTGCTCCAGCTCAATGTGTGGTATCTAGTCTTTCACTTTTTCTCAGGACGCGGGTTGCATCTGCCTTACCTTAGACATTGGTTTTAAATGCATTGCTTCCCCAGTCCCAAACCAGGCCTCTCATGCCTACCGGCAAGGGTGAGTGTTCAAATTAGTGGGATTTGGCCAGTCAGATCCAGAGGGGCTGGTGGAGATCTGGTAAGGGGGCAGCGCCTCGGTTTTGCTCTATGGATTGTTGAAAGCTGAAGTCAAGGCCTGAGTAAAACTTCTTCACTCTCAATCTCTGTGATCCTCTCCCCAACTTCCCCGGCCCCAGGAATCTGGATGGAAAATTCTGAGGTTCCTGAACTCAACTCAGGGAGTGGAAGCTTGGAAAAACGCCGGGCCTCTTCAAAATACTTTCTCCCGCTTGGTAGTAGCCCCACTTTTATAGGGCATAGTAGAGATGCCCAACCATCTCTATAGTAGGGTAGCAGGACCAAAGAAAAAGGTGTCCTTCCTCCAGCTGTGCGAAACTGGGTCTGTCTCCTTTTCACACTGAGCTGGGGGCGGGGTGAGGGTAGAAGGTACTTTTCTGAACCCTGGCCACTGGCAAAAGCCCCAGAGCATTGGTGTTGGGGGTGTGGTGGAGAGCGCCACCCAGGGGTCTCAGAAAAATCACCCATACAACCCCACCCTCAAGTCATGATGTCTTCATAGTTCCAAGCTTCAGTGAGGGGTGCTGTGTCCTTGACTGGTAAAGGCTTCAGTTCTCCCACGGGACTCACAGAATCGTATTTTGATGCCCCAAGCGCTAGAGGAGGAGGAAGGTAAGGGCAGTGAGAGGAGAGAAAAGCCCACGAGGACCAAGTGGCTAAGTTTCCACCCGGTCTGTGCAGGGCTGCTAATGAGGTGCTCAGCGTGACCAGGAAGACAGTTCTCAGGCTAGCACTGAGAGACCGGAGTCAGCAGAAGGGAGCACTAGGAAAAGTGAAGGCAGAGTGCAGCGATTGAGTTGCCCTGTGATACCATCGCACGGGTGAGGTAAGGGGAGCCCCCGGAAGTCATTTGGGTATACAACAAAAAGCAATCCTATTTAAGGCCGACCCTCTGTGAGACAAGGGGATCTGAGTAAAGTTAAGAAGCAACTGCCATAAAATAAGCAATTTAAAAATAAACAAGAGTGGATGAGCATGGGGGGGGGTGGACAGGAAAGCCGCCCTGTGGATGTCTTGCTGGGGGGGGGGGGAATGGAACCACTGTACTTGTTGAGTTCCTGTCTAAAGAGGGCTTGCTGTCTAGGGTCCACATCCACCTTCCAGCCCCTCTCCAGCAGTCACGGGAGAAGCACACAATTAACCTCTGATCCTATTCTCCCATTAATCCTCAAATAGGAGAAAGAGAATCTGTGGGCACAATGGGAAAGAAAGACTGACTCCTGCCTGGCTCTGTTCCCCCCCCCACACACACACACCACCATAGTCACTCCACGTGAAAATCTCCCTTGCTTCATAAACTCTGCCCATTAAAGAGCCCAGCCCTTGTTAGTAAGTGTTAAAGAGAGAGGAATGCCTGGATTTAAGAGGTAGGGAAGGTAACAGAAAGGGAGAAGGCAGGCGAGGCTGTGGGCTGAGTGCCAGCACTGGGCTTCGGAGCATTTCCACTTAGCGATGAAGGCTGGCCGCACAGCAGTTTGATAAGGTTTATTGGGCCCAGATAAAGGAGCAGCAGCCCCAAACCAGCACCATTTATAGGCAGAGCTGTAGAGCTATGTCCTTGGGTCCTGGAAAGCTGGTGAGAGTCCCCAGTTGAGAGATTTCATATGGGAACGCCTAAAACCAAGCAGACTGGAACATTCTCTCTCTCTCTCTCTCTCTCTCTCTCTCTCTCTCTCTCTCTCTCTCTCTCTCTCTCTGTGTGTGTGTGTGTGTGTGTGTGTGTGTGTGTGTGTGTTTTCCTTCAAGGATGTGGTAAGGAAAACTGGAAAACCAGCTCCTAAAGAAGCAAAAGACCACGGGGCACGGTGGTGCATACCTTTTATCTCAGCACTCTGGAAACAGAGTGAGCTTCGTGAGTTCAACGCCAGCCCCAGGCACCTAAGTGAGACCCTGTCTCAGAAACAAAGCAAAATGTAGAACCTTGATTTAAGGTTTTCTGACAAGATGCAAGAGACCCCCAGTCTCAGTCATGCTAGAAGCTGAGGCAGAGATGAACTGACCCTTGGGAAGCATCCCACTACAAAATGGCTCATGCCTTCATCTCCTCTTCTCCCTAGATGCCTCCCAACCATGTAGCCTCTCCAAGCTGAGCTAGTGGAAGAGAATCGGGTCTGAGGGAAACATGCAGGAAGAAGATGGTGGGAGTAACAATTCATGCAGAGCACTCCTTGTGAATCTCACCATGTTACCTGTCTTGTTTTAGATTGTCCTCCTAACAACCCTGCTGGCGTTCTATGGCCATCCTCATTTGGCTAGAAGAGACAGTTCGGTCCTAGAGATTGTTCGCATCTGACATGATGATTTGAATCACGTTGTGGGACTGCACAGCTCAAGCCTAGATTACCAAGCCTCTACTGAGAGGAGTCAACAAAACAGCCAAGGGATTTTAACTTTCCCTTCTTTCTCTGCTGAGGACAGGGCTATGTAGCAGCACACTCAACTGAAGACCCAGTGACGTTTGGCTGTCACATATAAGGCATTCTACACTTCCCTTCCTCCTCAGAATCTCGGACTACTGGAAGGGAGTTTGAATGTCAGTAAAACATCTAGCAGACACTCAGGTGCTTGTGTATCTGACTTGCATGTGAATGTAAAGTCTCAATTCTTGGGGTTGAGGATGCAGTTTCATCCATAAGGTTCTTGCTTAGCAGACATCAAGTCCAGGGCTTGATTCCCCAGCACTGGATACACTGACTGCGGTGTGTGTGTGCCCCCATATTCTATATTCCGTAAGTGAATTAAGTGAAAAAGCTTCATGAGGCACATCTTCCAAATAGCAAAGGGGGAAGTATTGAGGTGAAGCATATGTTCTGGCAGTTTAGGCTCAGAATACCCAACCAGAAGATGGCTGCTTAGATGATAATTTTCACCATCCTTTTTTACCACGAAACACTGAACAGTGAAGGCCATAAACTTGGGCATCCCTTCTAGACACCAACGACACCCTTGCTGGCATCTACAGGAACTATTGTTTGGTTGAGATGGGTCCCACTCACATAACCTCTGCAGACCATACACCTAGCTAGAAAACAACTTTTCAAAGAGAGACAAAGATCCCAGAAGCCTTGGGGTCACTCTGACCCCCAAGATCTTTGTGACGAAGGACAAGAAAGTGTTTCTTTCCTCTTTCTCTACCCAGCATATTGCAGATAGTGTGGGACCTAATGTTGTCAACTCAAATAGCAAATCCGAGTTGTTATTAGTGCAAAGATGCCCTGAGGGGGTAGGCAGTGTGGATGAGATCTGCAAGGGATGTTATGGGGAAGTGTGTTTATAATTATAATGGAATTTAATGTACACTGGGACCAGATGATGGCAGCCATTTCAAAAAGAGATGCCTAATAAGAGAGGTCCCTTAATGACAGACAGCAGGGCTCAGGTTACTAGGGGAAAGTGCAGCATTTCACTGGGTGCCACAAACCGGGTGCCAGGTCCCATAGGGTCCCCAACAAAGCTTTGGAGTGAGATACGGCAACTATTGTTATCAGCTTTGGAGTTACATTGTTTTCATGTTGCTGTTTGGAGACGGGCTGTACACACACACACACACACACACACACACACACACACAAAAGTGTTTTCTGCCTTACACAAAAACTCACACAGGCCTCAGGCCAACATTGGGTAGCTTTGGGTGTTTCTGGAAATCTGCTTTGTGCTGAGAAAGACAGCCTCGATTTCAAAACCAAACTTTTGTAGCTATCGAGGGGTGCATTTTCCATATAGTATGCATGGAGGGAATCGGCATGACTCCCATTATACGTAATGACAGTCCCACAGCTAAGTCCCCAGGCACCATGCTGAAAATTAACCCCCAAGTTTTCATTGGGGAAACAATGGGGCCTTTAAAACAAACAAAACTCTTTGTTTCTTTGTCAGGAGCCGGGTAAGAAGGGAAGCGTGTCACTTTTTTTAGGTGTTCAACTTTTACTAGGCAGCTATTTAACTCTTCAGTCTATTCTTACAGATTCTGATTCCAAGGTTGCTTTTAGGGCTAAAAAGATACCTTAGTGGTTAAGAGCACTGTCTGGTCATCCAGAGGACCTGGGTTTGGCTCCCCAGAACTCACCTGGCATCTTGCAACTGCCTGTAATTCCAATTCCAATTCCAGGTCCCAGGGGATTCAGCACTTTATTCTTTGGCCTCTATGGGCATCAGGCACACACACAGTGCACAGACATACATGTAGGCAAAACAGACACATGAAATAAAAATGAATAAATCATTTTTTAAAGAAAAAAATGCACGCTTGCTACTTTTGCAGAGGACCAGAATTCCATTCCAAGCACCCACATTGGGCAGGTCACGACTGAGCATGACCTTACCCCCAGGAGATTCAATGCCCTCTTGTTACCTCCTCAGCACCCATACTCATGCACATACCCACACATGAGCATGCATATATGCATAAAAATAAATCTCTAAA